TTGTTGCGGAAACAAGGATTGGTGATAAAGCTTGAATTGAGGCACCTTTTCCCCATGAAAACTCTTTCAGGAGTGAATTTCCCTTCTGAGGGGTAGATTTCTCCCTCTTCCTGTTGTCTCACCCCTGTCCTTAATTATGGGTTGTTTGTAAGTCACATGTCTAATTTGGGAAGTGCCTGTATAATAATAATAATAATAATAATAATAATAATAATAATAACAATAATAACAATAATAACAATAATAATAATAATAATACATTTTATTTATAATCTGCTCTATCTCTCTGAGGAGATATAAGCTGTACCCGCCACATATTGCTGTGGCCAACCTTTCCTCCCTCTTTCTCTCCTCCTTTCTTTCTCCCCTTCCTTCCCCTTTTTTCCTTCCTTCCTTCCTTCCTTCCTTCCTTCCTTCCTTCCTTCCTTCCTTTCCTTTCCTTTCCTTTCCTTTCCTTTCCTTTCCTTTCCTTTCCTTTCCTTTCTCTCCTTTTCCTTCTCTACCTATTCTTGGACTGCACCCCAGCAATCCTCCTGATCAATAAATCTGTCTCTATCTAATCTGTCTATCTATCTATCTACCTATCTATCTACCTATCTTACCCTCTTATAGTACCGAGGCTTATTAAATACTAGCTGTACCCGCCACGCGTTGCTGTGACCAACCTTCCCTCCCTCTTACTCTCCTTTCCTTCTTTCCTTCCTTCCCTCTTTCCTTCCTTCCCTCCTTTTTTTCTTTCCTTCTCTCTTTCCTCCCTTCTCTTCCTCTTCCTTCCCCCCTTTTCTTTCCCTTTCCCTTTCTCTCCTTTCTCCCTTTTCTACCTATTCTTGGACTGCAACTCCCAGCAGTCCTCCTGATCAATCTAACTACCTACCTAACTACCTATCTATCTCTATCTAATCTATCTATCTGAAGGATTGCTGGGAGTTGCAATCCAGGAATAACCAGGAAATTGGAAATATGCATGGACTGGAATGCTCTCAAAGAAATCCAAGGGGAAGAAAGCTTGCAGCTGGCAAACTAAAATGTACATGCAATAGGTAAAGGTAAAGTTTTTCCCCTGACATTAAGTCCAGTCGTGTCTGACTCTGGGGTGTGGTGCTCATCTCCATTTCTAAGCCGAAGAGCCAGCATTGTCCGTAGACACCTCCAAAGTCATGTGGCCAGCATGACTGCATGGAGTGCCATAGAGTCTTGCTTATCCAACCTTCCCTCATCTGTATCATCCAACCGTCTGCCTCCTGCCGGGATCCACTGCTCTTTCAATACATCACAATGTTTTGGTTCTAAATTCGTAAATACAGTAATTATTACATAACGTTACTGTGTATTGAATTGCTTTTTCTGTCGATTAGTAAAACGTGATGTTTTGGTGCTTAATTTGTAAAATCATAATGTAATTTGACGTTTAATAGGCTTTTCCTTAACCCCTCCTTATTATCCAACATTTTCGCTTATCCAACGTTCTGCTTGCCCGTTTATGTTGGATAAGCGAGACTCTATTGTATACACATTTACAAACAGTTAATGGTATTCCCAGAGGCAGCCCTAGGTAATTTTCAACGATAAGCAAACAGTATTTTGGCGCCCCGCCGCAACCAATCACTGATATATATTTTCTGTTCGTTGTGGGAGTTCTGTGTACCATATTTGGTTCAATTCCATCATTGGTGGAGTTCAGAATGCTCTTTGATTGTAGGTGAACTATACATCCCAGTAACTACAACTTACATATGTCAAGGTCTATTTTCCCCCAAGAGGGCCTCAAGAGCGCCCCTGGGCAAAATCAGCTATACTGCAAATGCTTACTTTGCGTAATGGGTTGAGCCGCCCCTGGGTATTCTCCGTAGTCACCTACGGATGTGAGAGCTGGACCATAGGGAAGGCTGAGCGAAGGAAGATAGATGCTTTTGAACTGTGGTGTTGGAGGAAAGTGCTCAGAGTGCCTTGGACCACAAGAAGATCCAACCAGTGCATACTTCAAGAAATAAAGCCTGACTGCTCATTGGAGGGAAGGATATTAGAGGACAAGATGAAGTACTTTGGCCATATCATGAGAAGAAAGGAAAGCTTAGAGAAGACAATGATGCTGGGGAAAATGGAAGGAAAAAGGAAGAGGAGCCAACCAAGGGCAAGATGGATGGATGGTATCCTTGAAGTGACTGGATTGACCTTGAAGGAGCTGGGGGTGGTGATGACTGACAGGGAGCTCTGGCGTGGGCTGGTCCATGAAGTCACAAAGAGTTGGAAATGACTGAATGAATGAACAACAACAATGGAGGCTTGGAAGGTTGCTATTTCCAAAATCTGTACTTTTACTATTTGTAAGGAACGGTCATTGTGGCAGGTGTAGCCAGTTCAACAAGCTCCACCTTTTGAAATGTCACATCTTTTTACAGCTTGCTATAGGCAACCTTTTCTACTAGGCCATCCCATAATTTCGCACGGGGTTCTTGATTTAGATGCTGCAAGAACCTTTGGGGAAGAAGTGGGGTGCTTGATCTTCCAGGGAAGAGCAGCTCTGGATGCTTTATGCCTCCGGGCCAAACGTCACTGTGTTCCTCCCAAATTCACCATTTCATCACAAAGTGAAGGGCTTTGCAGAACAACACTGAAACCTGGCTGCAAGCGGAATCTGTACTAATTACGTACACCGTGTCCTACATATCTACCGGAGAGCCTCCTTACTGTTGAATTATAGCCGTTGGGTTGGAACACATTTGGTTCATTAGATTTTCATCTCTGCGTATTATTCTTGTTATTCAGTGGTATTTCATGTGGGGTGTGTTATCAGGCCTTGGAGAGAGTACGCACTTGAAAAAGTAATGTGTTACTTGTTTGTCATTCATTTCTATATGTGTGAGTAACATAACAGGGTTATTCATATGTTGCTGTCAAGGTTATTATTTTGAAGTGACAAGTTTCAATTGCAAGTAGCACGGTGCATTAATAAAACATCACTGCCGACGGTTGCTTTATAAATGAGGAGTTTAAATTGAGAATAACATATGTTATTAATACATTATTTTTGAATCACTAAAATTGGATAACCCCTTAACCTTTTCTAATGAATGTTTTTTGCAATGCCATATTTTTTGGATTTCTGTACCAACTATATATATATATTCTCTCTCTCTCTCTCTCTATATATATATATACAGTATATATATGACACACAGAGAGAGGGAGATATCAGGCATGGGCAAACTTCGGCCCTCCAGGTGTTTTGGACTTCAACTCCCACAATTCCTAACAGCCTACTGGCTTAGGAATTGTGGGAGTAAGTCCAAAACACCTGGAGGGCCGAAGTTTGCCCATGCCTGATATATAAGCACTCTCAATACTAAGACACACCCAATTTTTAGAGATGTTTATATGGGAGAAAAATACCATATATACTTGAATATAAGCCGACCTGAATATAAGCCAAGGCACCTAATTTTAACACAAAAAACTGGGAAAATGTAGCAGCTACTGGTAAATTTGTAAAATAAAAATAGATATCAATAAAATTATATTAATTGAGGCATTAGTAGGTTAGTAGACATTACTAGACATCTAAGATAAGATCAGGGACATCTAATCACCTCTCTACAAAAGATTTCTCCAGGCACTTCCAGGCTATCAAATGCTAATCAAGGTGGTCAGTTGAAATATTCACACCTAGCTCCAGCAGACAAGAGTCCTTTGTCCCACCCTGGTCATTCCACAGATATATAAACCCATTTTCCTAGTTCCAACAGACCTCACTACCTCTGAGGATGCTTGCCATAGATGCAGGCGAAACGTCAGGAGAGAATGCCTCTAGAACATGGACATATAGTCCAAAAAAACCTACAACAACCTAAGATAAGACTGTCCAACTCTGATTAAATCATTATTCTAACCTTCTTCAATGTAAATGTGCTTCGTATCCTTCCAATAATCATCATAGTTTATTTTAACTATACTTTCTTTTGTGCTCATCCATTCCCTCTTTCCCATCTTTCCTTTTCCCCTGACTTCCCTACCACCTCTTGTCCTCCCTTTTCTCACTTCATGGCAAAAAATTTTCAGAAGGAGATTGCTTTTGACTTCCTCAGAGGCTGAGAGAGTGTGACTTGCCAAGGACACCCAGTGACTTTAACAGTAGAGCAAGGATTTGACCTGTGGTCTTCAGAGTTATATAGTCCAGTGCTCAAACCATTGCAGCTGTGTTATCTATGCAGTTCGGAAGATGATGGAAAGGGTCGTAGGGAGGGGAGAATGCAATTGAATAATCAGTTGATTGCAAAATCAGATAATCAATTAGCCAGCCAAACAGTTTATAAATTGCTGAACCCAAAGACATCAGACAGAAAACAGTAAATGTAGCAATGACCATAATAACAGTAATAGTAAAGAGACCATTCACCACAAACTAGAATGAAATCAATAAAAGGCAATTTTCAAGTAATTATAGAGTAGAATAGCACTTAAAATGTCTGAGGAAATGGAAAAGTCTTTCAATTTCCTCAGACTTTAAGATCATCCAGGGAGGCCCTGCTCTTGATCCCGCCTGCGTTACAAACACATTTGGTGGGGACGAGAGACAGGGCCTTCTCAGTGGTGGCCCCTTGGCTATGGAACGCCCTTCCTGGGGACATTAGATCGGCCTCCTCCCTCTTAACATTTCGGAAAAGAGTCAAGACTTGGTTGTTTCAGTAAGCATTTGAAAATGCAAGGTAAAAGACATAGGAATTGGAATGACTGGATGACGAGATAGGACAATGTTTTTTTATTAAGAGACGCAAATTATCTATTTTTTAATATTCTTGTTATGGTTTTATATTATATGTTAATGTTTTTAAATGTTTTATGGTGGTTTTGGGCACCGAATCGTATCCATTGTAAACCGCCCTGAGTCACTTGAGGGCTGAGAAGGGCAGTATACAAATACAGTAAACAAACAAAGTCCTGATCTGATTGCAAGTTGATGTTGGTCACATCTCCATGCTCCGTAAATGGGGTGCCAAAATTGAGAAGTCCCTTCCCATATGAGGATATATGTAATGAGAAGGCCCTCCCCACCAAAGCTTAAGTATAGGGAGACTTGCTCCTCCAGGCATTCTCTGACATTGGGCCCCATTTTCCTTCTTTCTGTCCCCAGATCATCTACACAGTGAGGAACCCCAAAGATGTCCTGGTATCCCTCTATCATTTTGCCTCCATGTTTCGCCCCTATAAGGACCCTGGCACCTTGGACCAGTTCCTTGATGTCTTCCTAAAGGGAGATGGTAAGTAAATGCATCGTAAAATAAGTCATGTTCTTTGGAGCAGAATAAGTCATGTTCTTCTCCTTCCCTCCCTACAACATATTGTGTATGAATTTCTATTTTTTCTGCCTATTGTGGTTGCAGTGCCTTTTGGATCCTGGTTTGACCACATTAAAGGCTGGATGAACCTGAAGGACAAGGAAAACATCTTCTTCATCACATACGAGGAGCTGCAAGAGGTGGTTATTATGTTATTATGCTAGTTAACACAGCGTTTACGTTTTGCAAGGAGGGATATGTCCATTGGAAGCAGAATGTATCTATATTTCCTGGCACAAGCAATCTGAAGGTCATTAAAATGTGGGAATTTTCTGACTATCCCTTTCTATGGCATGCAGGATGTGTCGTTGTTGCGGTTTCATATTTGTATTTCAGTCTGGCACATTTTTTTTGCCTCCAAGGTTCGAATGTGGTAAATATGAACTTCAAATACCTTTTGTCTCACTCTCTCTGTCTCTTTCTCTCTCTTCCAAATGGTCTAACTTGCTGTTTTCTAGCTCTGCTTATGAATTAGACATTCCTTTCTCTCTTTCAAGCAAACATAATTACCGGTATATCAGTTTAAAGGGTTTTCTAGTAATTGACTATATATACACAGGCACATCATTTCCTTCCTGCGCTTCTATTCAGAGCTTGGGAATGTTACCGAATAGATAACAATTGCCAGAATCCCCCAGCCAATATGGGAAGTATAGCCTTAACTTTGCCAAGCACAGCCATGGCGATGCCAGTACCTCTTTATTTCACATTTATTCATAGTGGCTAGTCATTTTCAATGAAAACATTTACAATATCTAATTAGTTAGCTTCACCAAAAACTGATAATGGTGGATTTCAGTTGAGAGGTATGGTCTTGCCTAAATCAAAGTGGTGTGAGGAACAAAGGACCAGAATAGGGATCATAGAATCATAGAGTTGGAAGAGGCCTCGTGGGCCATCCAGTCCAACCCCCTGCCAGGAAGCAGAAAAATCATGTTCAAAGCACCCCCAACAGATGACCATCCAGCCTCTGCTTAAAGCCTCCAAAGAAGGAGCCTCCACCACACTTCAGGGTAGAGAGTTCCACTGCTCTCACTGTCAGAAAGCTCTTCCTAATGTTCAGGTGGTACCAGGCATGTAGCCAGGGGGTGGGGGGGCTTGAGGGGCTTCAGCCCCCCCCAAATTCTCATGGTGGTCCGCGAGAAGGCCTTACTGATACATTATTTAAACTGTTATGTTTATTCATATCATGATCTGATCACCATGCTCAATATATCCCATATGCATGGGGGTGTTGGGGTAACAGTACAAAATGTTTGCTAGGGTAGACCCTCTTTCACTCAGACTCAGCCCCCCCGAATCAAACTCAGCTCCCTCCGAATCAAAATCCTGGCTACGGGCCTGGGTGGTACATATCTCTTTTCCTGTAGTTGAAGCCATTGCTCCACATCCTAGTCTTCAGGGCAGCAGAAAACAAGCTTGCTCTCTCCTCCCTATGACTTTCCCTCACATTTATACATGCCCATCATCATGTCTCCTCTCAGCCTTCTCTTCTGCAGGCTAAACGTGCCCAGCTCTTTAAGCTGCTCCTCATAGGACTTGTTCAGACTCTTGATTATTCTAGTTGCCCTCCTCTGGACATATTCCAGCTTGTCAATATCTCTCAGATTAGATCAGGCATAGGCAAGCTTTGGCCCTCTGGGTGTTTTGGACTTCAGCTCCCTCCCTCCATGCTTCCAGAATTGAGGATATGTAACAGCTGTCATTTCAAAGAGAAGAGGTTTTTTTTTCCCACAACGAAGAGGGGGAGGGATGGTGGGTAGTGCGTAATGATTAAAGTGTGGTGGCAAATATATTGAAAGAATGCTGAGTATCACAGATACTTTTAACAGTGTGATGAAGGGAGGGAAATCATCCGTTTCATTTAAAAACTGAGTAAGACTGACCAGAACACTTCCCTGATTCAATGTGATGAAGTGGTAAGATACCGAGAAGGAGTGCAAGGTGCTGAAAAATCCTTGTGCCTGCTGACAAGAGAGAACAACGGGAAGGGAAAAGTTCTCTGAACTTTGCACATGCTCACGAAGTTCAGACTATAAAAAGGCCGAGTTGCATCTCAGCCTCGTGGCACAAATATTTCTTTGCTGGTCACCCTCTGTTTTGCTCTGATCACAAATAAAGCTGTAGTTTGGATCTCCTGACTCCAGTGTCTAATAGGAAGAAATGATTCTAGGGACTCTCCAAGCCCCAACAATCATGGGGTTAATAGTTTGGTAAGGCAGCAGCACTCTTTGGCAGTTGATGTCAAACTGCTTTTGTTCTAAGGTACAGCCAAGTGAAAACTCAAGGTTTACTTTAAATGGGAGTGAAATGTGGTGGTTTAAGGGAACAACACAAATCCAACCAAGTTCCAAATTAGTTAAAGTGCCATGATACTCTCCTGAATATGGTTCCGATTTGGAAATTATAATTGTGGCAGAAAACCAAAGGAATGTAGGCAGGGAGGCTTTTAATGTGCCTGCGTCATCCACAAACTACTATGGGTGAAGTACACAGTGTATCACAGACTACCATGATTTCAACAAAATTGCAAAATATTTTGTTAAGGAGAGAAAGACAGAGTAGCAAGCTACAGATTTTCATTTGATTGGGAATGCCATGTCTGCCTGGAACTACTGTGCCAAAAAGTGATCTGGGAATATGTGTTACTTTGGAAGAGCCATGTCTGCTAAACTAGATTTGAAGTGGTTTCTGTTTGAAGCATAAAGGTACCTAAGAGTATTCCCCTTAAGCTGTGTGCCCACTTACACATCCTTTCTGTCTCATCACCCTTATCTTCTTCCAGGACCTGCGGGGGAGCGTTGCCCGCATTTGCCAGTTCCTTGGCAAGGACTTAGACGATGCTGCCATCGACTCCATAGTGGCAAATGCCTCCTTCGAGGCCATGAAAAGCAATAAGATGTCAAACTTCTCACTCTCGCCCCGCTTCCTCATGAACCAGAAGAAAAGCGCTTTCCTCCGCAAAGGTGAATGCGGAAAAGGGTTGGGAGGGAGGGAATCTTCTCTGGGTCTCAATGCGCAGCGGTTGTAGGCCCATCATCCAATTTGTGCCATCAATACTAGCATATTATATTATTATTATTATTATTATTATTATTATTATTATTTACAGTATTTATACCCCGCTCTTCTCAGCCCTAAGGGAACTCAGAATGGCTTACAGAACACACATACGGCAAACATTCAATGCCAGTGATACAATTAACAAGGCCAGAAATAAGATATCTTATTTCTGGCACCTTGGAGGCTGTGCTTGACTCCAGCCATTGGGGGGGGGGGTGCTGTCGCTCCATCTTCCAACATTGATCGGAGGAAAGCATGTTGTCACGTTGCCAAGGCTCTGCCGGTATACAGGTATAGATGAATACCCAACTCATGTCAAACTGTTTAATTAAAGCAGCACTTACTTTCGAGCTGTTTTCTTAGTCCAAGTGTAAAACATAAATTAATTAATTTATTTATTTACAGTTTTTATATTCTGCCCTTCTCACCCCGCAGGGGACTCAGGGCAAATAATAATGCACATATATATGGCAAACATTCAGTGCCATTAGACATACACCATATATAGACAGACACAGAGGCAATTTAATATTCCAGCTTTCCGGCTTCATGAGGGTATGCTCGATTCCGGCCACAGGGAAGCTGCCGCTTCACCATCCACTTGTGACATCGAGTCCTTTGATGGAGTACTTCCTCATTCTTCTGCTGGAAGGTTTTATGTTGTCGTAAATTAGTTAAATTAACCACCCCACATAAAGCGGTACCTAATTTTCCTACTCGACAGATGCAATTGTCTTTTCGGGCTGCATAGGTCAACAACAAGCTAGATTATTAATGGCCAGGAGCTTACTCTGACCCGGGCTGTCTTCAAACTCAAGACCTCTTGGTCAGTAGTGATTTATTGCAGCTAACTACTAACTAGCTGTGCCACAGCCCAGTACTATAAAGATAATACTCAGTCCACAGAGTATAAAACAAAGACTGATAGCAAATGCTGATGCAGGTTCAAGAGAACATCATAGTCAAAGGGTCCAGTCCAGTGGCCAGACACCAAGAGTTCAATGAGTAAAGTCCAAGGATTAAGAGTCTATACTAGTGGTTCTCAACCTTCCTAATGCTGCTACCCCTTAATACAGTTCCTCATTCTGTGGTGACCCCCAACCATAAAATTATTCTCGTTTCTACTTCATAACTGTAATTTCACAACTTTTATGAGTTGTAATGTAAATATCTGATATGCAGGATGTATTTTAATTCACTGGACCAAATTTGGCACAAATACCCAATATGCCAAAATTTGAATATCGGTGGGGTTGGAAGGGATTGATTTTGTCATTTGGGAGTTGTAGTTGCTGGGATTTATAGTTCACCCACTGTCAAAGAGCATTCTGAACTCCACCAAAAATGGAATTGAACCAAACTTGGAACACAGAACTCCCATGACCAACAGAAAATACTGGAAGGGTTTGGTGGGCATTGACCTTGAGTTTAGGAGTTGTAGTTCACCTACATCCAGAGACCACTGTGGACTAAAACAATAAAGGATCTAGACAAAATTTGGCAGAAATACTCCATATACAAAGATGGAGGTTGGAGAAAATAGACCTTGACATTTGGGAGTTGTAGTTACTGGGATTTTTAGTTCACCTACAATCAGGGGCGGCTCAACCCATTACACAAAGTAACCATTCGTGGTAGAGTTGATTTTGTCCAGGGACGCTCTTGAGGTACTCTTGGGGGAAAATAGACCTTGACATATGCGAGTTGTAGTTACTGGGATGTATAGTTCACCTACAATCAAAGAGCATTCTGAACACCAGTGATGGAACTAAACCAAATATGGCACACACAACTCCCAGTGATTGGTTGGGGGATGGGGGTGGGGCGCCAAAATACTGTTTTCTTACAGTTGAAAATTACCTAGGGCTGCCTCTGCCTACAATCAAAGAGCATTCTGAACCCCACCGATACAATTGGGCCAAACTTCCCACACAGAACCCCCATGACCAATGGAAAATACTGCATTTTCTGGTGGTCTTTGGTGACCCTTCTGACACCCCCTCTCGACCCCCCCAGGGGTCCCGACCCCCTGGTTGAGAAATGCTGGTGTATACCATTGTCAAAAACCAGTCCAGAAAACCTATCCCTGGCATGCCTCCACCCTTAATTACTTTCACCTGTAAACTCTTACTTACAGATTACTCATCCCTTTAGAACTAAGACTTCCATTATCGCCTTTAAGCGTGCCACCACCAACCACATACATGACAGATGTCCTTCAGGACACCTTTATTATCTCCCTATTAAAACAGTACTTATTTTATCTACTCGCATTTTTACTTTTGCTAGGTGGCCAGGTGAGCTGGGGCTAATAGTGGGGCTCACCCTGACTTGGGCTCAAACCTTTTGATTGGCAGGATTTTTCTGCAGTACAGCAGTTTAGTCTGCTGTGCTAAGCTCGGCCTCTGCTGTGCTAAGCAAATCCTTCAGTTTGTCCTCATTTGCCAACAATGAATCCTCCATCATCCCAGATTTCAGAGGCTTTAAAATATTCTGTTTGTCCTCTTCATTTCACTTCTCCTTTTGTCCTCAGTGTATGTCACTTGCTGCAAACTGACCCACAAAAATAGTTTATACTCCACCGACTCAGCCAGAAGGAGAAGAGAGGAGTGGGGAGATTTATGCTCTTAGCAATAGGCTCTGGCAAGAACATGCATTGCTTTCTCTCCTTACTAGAGATAAATTGGTGTATTAATTGTTTATAACATCTGTGTCTTACGTTTCAAACAAATGATCCTCAGGGTGGCTTGCAATGCATGGTAATAATGCATGCACAGCCAGACTGAAATTCCATGAAATCCAACATTACAGCCAACCAAGCAATTGCTCTTAACAAAAAATCCAGGCTTATTTCCCCCAGCATCTGATAGCCAAAAACAATGTTCAGTGTATTGTCGAAGGCTTTCATGGCTGGAGTCACTGGGTTGTTGTCAGTTTTCCAGGCTGTATGGCGATGTTCCAGAAGCATTCCCTCCTGACATTTCACCTGCATCTATGGCAGGCAATTGAAACATTCACACCTACCTCAAACAGACAAGAGTTCTTTCTCCCACCCTGGACATTCCACAGATATATAAACCCTATTTTCCTGGTTTCCAACAGACTTCACAACCTCTGAGGATGCCTGCCATAGATGTGGGTGAAACGTCAGGAAAAATGCTTCTGGAACATGGCCATACAGCCTGGAAAACTCACAACAACCAAAAACAGTGTTGCTATGTGCCTTCAGATCAACTTTGACTTATGACAATCCAAGCATACATTCCCTGAATTTGTGTCAATACACAAAACAGCCCAAAGGTCATGCTGGAGGACCCATAAAATTCCTAAATAGGACTTATTCTATCAGATGTGGATAAATGAAACTGCAAATACCAGCCCTATGGATATGGGGGTCATATTTTACAGTTAAAATGCCAATTGCACTTTTTGTAATGTATTATTATGTTGTAAGCTGCCACGAGTCCTCTGGGTAGAGGGGACAGGATATAAATAAACATTATTACTATTATTATTATTATTATTATTATTATTATTATTATTATTATTATTAGATACACAACAAGATTAGTACACAGCAAACAAGATCACTATGCAGGCTTTTGTATTTGATCACACATCGGACACTTCCCAAGTGTCTAGGACTGTGTGATGTATTGGCGAATAATGTGTGCAGATCCGAGTAGAGTGGCATTTTGCATCTGACAGATGGTAATTTTGTCAGTGCTTATTGTTTTTAAGTGCAGGCCAAGGTCTTTAGGCACTACACCCAGTGTGCCGATCACCATTGGGACCACCTTGACTGGCTTGTGCCAGAGTCTTTGCAGTTCGATCTTTAAATCCTCATATTGTGTCAGCTTTTCCAGTTGTTTCTCTGCAATCCTGCTGTCACCTGGGATTGCAACATTGACAATCCATACTTTGCTTTTTAACACAATCGTGAGGTCAGGAGTATTGTGTTCCAAAACTCTGTCTGTGTGAATTCGGAAGTCCCAGAGTAGCTTGACATGTTCATTTTCTGTAACCTTTTCCGGCTTGTGATCCCACCAGTTCTTTGAGGCAGGCAGATGGTATTTGTGGCACAAGTTCCAATGAATCATCTGAGCAATGGTGTTATGCCTCTGCTTATAGTCTGTCTGCGCAATCTTCTTGCAGCAGCTGAGGATGTGATCTATTGTTTCATCTGCTTCCTTGCAGAGTTTACATTTGGGATCTGTTATTGACTTTTCAATTCTGGCTTTGATGGCATTGGTTCTAATGGCTTGTTCTTGAGCTGGCAGAATCAGGCTCTCCGTCTCCTTTTTCATTATTATTATTATTATTATTATTATTATTATTATTTGATACACAACAAGATTACTACACAGCAAACAAGATGGCTTTTGTATTTGATCACACATCAGACACTTCCCAAGTGTCTAGGACTGGATGATGTATTGGCAAATAATGCATGCAGATCCGAGTAGGGTGGCCTTTTGCATCTGACAGATGGTAATTTTGTCAGCGCTGATTGTTTTTAAGTGCAGGCCAAGGTCTTTAGGCACTGAACCCAATGTGCTGATCACTACTGGAACCACCTTGACTGGCTTGTGCCAGAATTATTATTTTATTATTATTAACTTTATTTGTACCCCGCTAGCATCTCCCGAAGGACTCGATGCGGCTTACACAGGCCGAAGCCTCAGAACACAATACAGTAAAAAACATAACACAACAATAGTAAACAAAGCAAATCAAATAGTTAAGCAAATAACAACAACAGTAACAATACATCAAGACACTTTAAAACTGGGCCGGCCAGCGCCATGGGGTACAGGGTTAAAAGTGCTGGAGTGGCAGGAGGAGCATAGGATTAAAATAGTGCGGTGTGCAGTAATATTAATTGTACTAAAGTGCTTCTAGGACTTGGGGTGGGGGATTCCTAATCTGAGAAGGCACGTCGGAACAGCCAAGTTTTTAGGTTCTTTCTGAAAGCTGCCAAAGAAGGGGCCTGTCGAAGATCTTTTGGAAGGGCATTCCAAAGTCGGGGGGCCGCCACAGAAAAGGCCCTGTCCCGTGTCCCCACCAAGCGCGCTTGCGACGTGGGTGGGATCACGAGCAGGGCCTCCCCAGATGACCGGAGCGAGCGTGTGGGTTCGTAGATGGAGATGCGGTCACGCAGGTAGGGTGGTCCCAAACCGTTCAGGGCTTTGTAGGTGAGCACCTGCACCTTGAATTGGGCTCGGAAAATAAATGGCAGCCAGTGGAGCTCCCTAAACAGAGGGGTAGACCTCTCTTGATAATGAGCCCCGGTTAGCATCCTGGCTGCTGCCCGCTGGACCAATTGAAGTTTCCGAGCCGTCTTCAAGGGCAGCCCCACGTAGAGCGCATTGCAGTAATCCATTCTAGAGGTGACCAAGGCATGGACCACCCCGGCCAGATCAGCCTTCGCAAGGTACGGTCGCAGCTGGCGCACAAGTCTCAATTGTGCAAAGGCCCTCCCGGATACCGCCGACACCTGAGCCTCAAGTGTGAGCGACGAGTCCAGGAGGACACCCAAACTGCGGACCTGTGGCTTCAGGGGGAGTGTAACCCCGTCCAGCACAGGTAGCCACCCTATACCCCGATCCGGTTTACGATCGACCAGGAGGACCTCTGTCTTGTCAGGATTGATCTTCAGCTTGTTCCTCCTCATCCAGATCGACACAGCGGCCAGGCACTCGTCCAGCACCCGAGAGGCCTCCTTGGAATTAGGTGGAAAGGAGTAGTAGAGTTGTGTGTCATCCGCATAGAGATGGCACCCAACTCCAAAACTCCGGATGACCTCTCCCAGCGGTTTCATGTAGATGTTGAAAGCATGGGCGACAAAATAGAGCCTTGCGGGACCCCACAGGTCAAAGGCCAGGGGTCCGAGCAGGCGTCTCCCAGCTTCACCATCTGGGTTCGTCCCTCCAGGAAGAACCAGAGCCACGACAGAACCACGCCCCCGAGGCCCATCCCAGAGAGACGACCCAGAAGGATACCATGATCGATGGTATCGAAAGCCGCTGAGATGTCCAAGAGAACCAACAGAGTCACACTCCCCCTGTCCAGCTCTCTGCGGAGGTCATCCACCAAGGCGACCAAGGCCGTCTCGGTGCCATGACCAGGCCTGAAACCAGACTGTGACTGATCTAGGTAGTTGGTATCATCTAAGAAGCTCTGGAGCTGAGAGGCGACCACCCGCTCCAGCACCTTACCCAAAAAAGGGAGGTTGGAGATTGGCCTGTAGTTGCTCAGCACCGTGGAGTCAAGGGAGGCCTTTTTGAGGAGTGGACGAACCACAGCCTGTTTCAAGTTAGATGGAAAAATCCCTTGCTCCAACGATGCGTTGATAATCAATACAAACCAATCAACCAGCCCCTCCCTGGCTGACTTAATGAGCCAAGATGGGCACGGGTCTAGAGATGAGGTGGTCGCCCTCACAGCCCCAAGAATCTCCTCCACGGTTTCAGGAAGAACAAGCCTAAAAGAATCCCACAAAATTGGACAAGCAGATGCCTCCGTCACCTCTTCTGGCACTGCGATGAAATTGGAGTCGAGCTCAAGGCGTATCTGGGCGACTTTACCTGCAAAATGGTGTGCGAAATCGCGACACCGAGCTGCTGGGTCATCAGTGACCCCCCTCCACCACAGGTGGGTGGAGGAGTTCTCCCACGACCCGAAACAGCTCCGATGATCTATTTGCTGCAGACGCTATACGGGTGGTCGTGAATGATTTCCTGGCCAACTGAATAGCCACGGAGTATGCCTTAAGAGAGGCTTTAGCCCGTGCTCGATCAGACACGTCCCGAGATTTCCTCCATTTGCGCTCTAGCCCCCTTCTCGCATGCTTCATCACAGTCAGCTCCCCGGTGAACCAGGGAGATGGCCTGTCACGACGCAACGAGATGGGGCGTTCGGGTGCGATCATATCTAACGCCCTGGACATCTCCCCATTATAGAGAGTCACCAAGGCGTCGATAGAATCGCCAGGCTCCAAGGCAGGAAGAACCCCAAGATTCCTCAGGAATCCATCCGGATCCATCAGTCTCCTAGGGCGGACCATTTTAATCTGTCCTCCACCCCTGCGGAGGTTAAGGGTCGCAGCAAGTCTAAAACTGATCAGATAATGATCAGACCATGACACAGGAAGGATGTTTTGATCTTCCACTCTAATCATTTCGTTGTCCGCCACGAAAACAAGGTCAAGAGTATGTCCAGCTTGATGAGTGGGACCAGATATTATTTGTGACAGTCCTATGGTCGTCATGGTGGCCATAAAGTCCTGAGCTGCACCAGATAGGGTGGTCTCAGCGTGGATGTTAAAATCTCCCAGCACCACCAGGCGCTGGGAAACCAAGGCCGAATTAGAGACCACCTCCGCTAGCTCAGACAGGGAACTGCTGGGTCGCGGGGTGGGCGGTACACCAGCAGGAACCCCACACTGTCACGGCTCCCCACTTTCAAGTGGACACACTCAAACCCAGAAGCCTGCGGAACAGCGCATCTGATCACGGCGATGGATTGCCGAAAGACTACTGCGACCCCTCCTCCCCGCCCCCCTTGTCTGGCCTGCTGATGCACTCCGAAACCTGGTGGACACAACTGAGTGAGATTTACTCCCCCCAGCTCGTCCAGCCAGGTCTCGGTGATGCATGCCAGATCCGCCCTCTCATCCAGGATCAAGTCCTGGATGGCCGCGGTCTTACCATTAACGGATCTGGCATTAATCAGCAGGACCTTAAGACCAAGGGGACTGCCGTGGAGCCTACCACTACCTACCTTCTCCAGGGTCGCAAGAACTCTTTGCAGTTCGATCTTTAAATCCTATTATTATTATTATTATTATTATTATTATTATTATTATTATGCAAGTTTTATTGCCAACATACCTATAATACGGCTGTTAGTCATAAAAATTCCTCCACCACATTTGTCCCACATCTAATGGTCTATTACTTTTCTATTGATTTCCAGGGATCTCTGGAGACTGGAAGAACCATCTCACGCCTCTTCAGAGTGAATGTTTTGACCAGATCTATCAGGAGCGTTTGCAAGACTTAAGCATTACATTTCCCTGGGACAAAGAATGAAGCTGTCTTTCTCTGTACCGATTCCTTTCCTTTGTGATTAATGATTCATCGTGATACTAATTGTCTAGTAAAACACCTTGTAGATTAGAAGGAACATCTGGGCTGAGTGAGGAAGGAGTCAGTCTTGGGAGAATAATGGGTTAGAATAGGCATAGGCAAACCTGGGCCGTCTGGGTGTTTTGGACTTCAACTCCCACAATTCCTAACAGCCTCAGGCCCTTTCCTTTTCCCCCTCAGCCGCTTAATGTGGGAGTTGAAGTCCAAAACACCCAGACGGCCCAAGTTTGCCCATGCCTGGGTTAGAAGAACTGGAGACCAGGGTTGGAATGGTGTGTTTAGTTCCAAAGGTGTCTAAACTATATCTCCGAAGCCATAAAGGTTTCTGAGATTGGTTTGAAGGCACATGTTTCAGCAGCCTATATGCGGCCAGTATCTGGATAGAAGACTGCAGTCCTCTGTTTGTCATCTGAAGTTCCATGACAAGAAGAGAGATGAGGTGTAAATATAATAAACATTATTAAAAAACAAACAAACTATTAAGTGGTTCATATATATATATATATAAGGATTGAATGAAAAGTAATACCTCCACTTTCGTTACTTAGGTTTCGATGGGAATATTTTAATAAATCAAATGCAGAAATAATCCTTAGAATGCGCTCTTTAACTATCACTATTCACTTTTCCACATAATCACCAGACAATTGGATACATTGCTGCCAACGATGAACAAGTTTTCTGAAGCTGACACGGAAGAAGTCAACACTCTGTTTCTGCAACCCATCACGCACAGATCTTCCGATAGCCAAGCAGAGCAATAATGTGACCCACACGTTCTTGTGAAATGCCGATTATGCTTGAAATTTTTCTCTGAGTGATACGATGATCGTCCTGAATCAATATGTCAACCTTTTGCTTGTGAAACTTGGTGGTTGCTGTCACAAGACATCCAACTCTTTGTTTGTCACGCAAGTAAGATATTCCCATTTCAACATCATTAAACTTACTCACCCAACAATGCACAGTACTCACATCAACACAATCACCTTAAACAGCTTGCATTCTCTGATGAATCTCCTTTGGGGTGACACCTGCTGTCAAGAATGCAATGACTGCATGTTGCTTAAGTCGCATTGGCTGACTGTCTGTGCAGGGTTCCATACTTTGCACTTTAACAACACAACCATTCAATGCTAAGGCTTGCCACCAAAATGGAACTGTAGGGGAGAGTCTACTGAACAAGCCAGTACCTGCCGCATACCAGTACTGCCATCTGTTGAGGAGTTACGAAGGTAGAGGTATTACTTTTCATTCAACCCTCGTAAATTGATATTGGAGTAACTCTCGGAACTATAGAGGAGAGTCTACTGAACAAGCCAGTACTTGTCGCATACCAGTACTGCCATCTGTTGAGGAGTTACGAAGGTGGAGGAATTACTTTTCATTCAACCCTCGTAAATTGATATTGGAGTAACTCTGGTTATTCCATTAGTGTTTGAAGCTAGCTCTTTTAGTGAACCTACAGTAGAGTCTTGCTTATCCGACATAAAAAGGCAAGCAAAACATTGGATAAACAAATATGTCGGATAATACGAAGTCTATTACCCATCTGATGCGGTGCTAGACACCTAGAATACTAACAACGGGGACTCAAAGGGTTAATGCAAGGCAACACCTCAGGGCTAGAGTGGCCCAGCAGGAAATGCTCAGATGCAGAAGAGGAGTGTGGAAATCACAGGGAAGAAGGGAGGATGCTTCCATTTCCAGTCCTGCCTCTTTTCCACCTTTCCTCCCTCTTTCTCCTCCTCCTTCTCTTGCCTCTTTCACTTATTGGAAATGGAGAGAGAGTTGGGGGAGTGCTCCTTTAATTGAAGGGGAAATGATGAAGGAAAAGGGGGGAGTGGGATAAGAGCGTCGGATAAGATGGAATGTCGGATAAGCGAAGGTCAGATAAGCGAGACTCTACTGTAGTTCCTGTTCCTCCAGAATGCAGTGAAAGCCACTGGATGATAAACTGCTTTTTTCTCAATGCCTGATGCCAATACTGAACAACACTAGTATATTTTTGAACAAAAAAGGGCATGTCAATTGGTTCTGCCCGACAGGAAACCATTCCTATGGCACAGGAGTTGGGAGGACACAGGGCTTGTGAACCAAAGCTAATTTGGACTTCAATCCCAAAAACCCCAGGTAGAATTGCTTCTGGCATAGCCTCCAACTGTTTCAATTTGGCAGCGACATTTCTGGTGAATCCATTGTTATCCCACTTTTGCAGTTGCTATTAAATTGCCCTGGTTTCTCTTTCCTCCTGTTATTTCGTCCACCTACTTCGGTTGCTGCAAACAGAGTCCCCAGTGCAAAACAACTCAAAAAAAGGAGAGGAGGGAGTCAAAGCTTGCTCTTCCCAATAGGTTCAGGCAAAAATACTCCTGCAGCTTCTCCCAGTTTCTGTGTTTTTTCTCATTCGTATCTTTTCCCCTCTTGACCACACTCTGATATCAATGCATGCATACATTCTGGTTTTTCACCCGGTGGTGCAATGGGTTAAACCAGTGGTTCACAACCTTTTTTTTTTACCAGGGATCACTTCACCAGGGACCACTTTGACCAGGGAACACTCTCCAACATTAGTACCAAAAGGGTTACGAATCCTTTTTTAGTGAACTTTAGATTTGATTTGGTTATTTGCGGTGCTGATTCAGAAAATGGCATTGGACAGATCATATCAGCTCTAGTTTCTGATGCAGAACATATACCATCCAGTAGTTTCCATCTATTCACCTGCAGAAAACCATCTATATAAATAAAAATGTAATGTTCGTTTGTGGGATTAACGTAACTCAAAAACCACTGGATAAATTGACACCAAATTTGGGCACAATACATCTATCAGGGCAATGAGTAACCATCACTCATAAAAACACTGAAAAACACAGAAGAAGGGACTTAAAAAGCCAAAAAAAAAGAGCAAAAAGATGCTATAATGCATGCACAAAACAACTCCCCTGACAAACAAAACACACAATAGCATATCCACACTCTCTTCTGAATTCCAGCTCCCAGTATCCCCTAGATAAGGGCCTTTAGGAGAGGAGGATGATCCAAATGCATTGCTTCCAAGCTGCAAGCTTTCTTCTCCTTGGATTTCTTTGAGAGTATCCCAATCCCTGCATATTTCCAATTTCCTATTCCTTGACTGCAACTCCCAGCAATCCTCCAGATAGATAAGATAGATAGATTAGATAGAGGTAGGTAGGTAGATAGATTGATCAGGAGGACTGCTGGGAAATGCAGTCAAAGAATAGGTAGAGAAGGTGATGACCCCCCCAAGTAGCGGAATCTCCCGCCTTCAAGTTGGTTTGAACCGCAGCAGGGAGTTCCGCAGTTCCGGAGAGCAAAGTTGGGTCCGACTGATGAAATGTGCCCCAGCCAGCAGCTCAAAGCAAAGGACTGCATGAAGCCTTTCTTTCACTTTCCCCTCTCCCTCTCTTTGTAACAAATCCCTCAATAAAACACTTAAGTTTTGAAACTTTAAATCCTTTCCGCTTGATACTTTGTGTCCTTTTACTGACTGCAACTTTTCTAACTCACAATAAACCTTTTTCTGAGCTCCGGGGAACCGTGAGCTCACTGGGGATGCCTTCCCGGCCTCCCCAGGCCTCCGAATTTGCGTTAGTTCAAATCGCGGATACGGAGATTTTCCTATTGGCCCCCCTTATCCGCCAAAACAACAACATGGCGGATCGGGCCCGTTCAAATTTTATATTTTTCTACATTAACTTCTAAGACTAACTGCTATCTTGGTTTTCTCATTTTGGACTCCTGCACTCGTGAAATAATTGTTTTTGTTTAATCATTAAATTCGGCCGAGTCACCAGCTGATTGTCAAAATTTCGCCGGCTTTTGCCGCTTGCTTCATTCCGCTCGCTGCGGCTCGCTCCAGCATGGTTCCAGCCGCCTGCGATCCACCGCCGTCGCCCAAGGGAAAGCCTTGGAAGTGGGGGATCGGGCAGGGAGGCCCGATCCCCGGTTGGGAGCGCTAGTTCCACCAAGGACGGGACAGTGGAACGTAGCTCCCCCTTCAGCTCCAGCTCCTGCTTCAAAAATGAACTGATCTTCTGATGGCCAGCCTAAACCATAGGCTGGCCCCTGCATCCAAACCCCTCCGTCCGGACTTTTGGGAGTTTTAGTCTTTCTTTCCTTTTTTATGAAATGAAATAAAGAAAATATTTTCTTATTATGGATTGGGGTTGGGATGGGTGGTGGGTTGTGATATATGAAATGCCTGTATATTGGTGATGCCTGTGTTTTATGAATATGAAATATGTACCCCTCATAAACTCCCCTGTATCTTCACCCCCTTGACCCCTTACCCCATAAAGCCGGCATGACCAGGAATTGCCTGAGGGAAAGAGCCCAAGCCTCTTTTCCCCAAATCACCCATTGATTGACTCATTTTGCATGGACAATGCTGCTGGCCCCCGATTTCGTCATCGGAGCAAGGCCAACGAAGGAGGGTTTGGTCAGCAGAGCCCCGGAAAGAAAGGACTGATTAAATCACCCAGATACTGTTGATCCTCCGGGCGGTCCGGTATCGATCCAGCTATTCAAATTCCTTGCCAGACTCATCAAGAACAGGAAAGCCCTTTGTTTGCCAAACATCACCCTCTTCCCGCCTTGGACAATAGCCCGCATTCCAGCGGGCAGGGAAGCCCAAATCCCATCATCTTTCCCCTTTGTTCCTCGGCCATCCCGCCTCCTCGCTCCTGATTGGACAGAACCCAGGAAGCGAGCGGAGGGCGCCCATTGGCCCTCCCGAGGCGGGGGAACGCTCCCATTGGCTCCTGGCGGAGGCAGGCTGTCAAACCTCCTCCCAGCTGTTCCAGCCTCAGCCAATCAGCGTGAAGCCGGCTGACGGGGGGCGGGCGGGTTTTTCAAACTGCTTTCCTTTGTTCTGACTGTATAAAAATGCCTGAAAATCTTCGTACTGCATGCTTACAGTGGAATGATTCCTGTAATGCATCCTTTTCAGCTGAATCGCAAATAAACCTCGATCGCTGGACTTCTTCCGCCTCTGGTGACCTTATTATATTTTAAATATTTCGGCGCTTTTGGATTGGCTTCCGGAAAAGCTCACCAAGGTATCCAGGACTCTCTTTGGT